CTCCCCTCCGCATCCAAAAGGTTGGAAATGCTTCTATTAATGCTGGGATACCAGTCAGGATTCATTCGTGGTGCCCAAGAAAAAGCCTTCGTCATCCCTCGCCTGGCCCAGAGCTCTGCCTTGAGCCCTTTTGTCCATGCTGTGTCCATTAATCAGCTGGACTGAACTCTCAACGCCTGAAAGGTGAGGATTCTTTCAAGGTTGAAGCCCACAAAAACAAAGAAGGACTTTGTAAGACGAGAACTCCTCCTGAGGCAAAAAAAACGGTGTTTACCTCTCTTAGCCTCCTCCCAGCCACCCAATAACACCCACACACGCACCTCAATTATTGCATTGTTGGGTCTCCGTCGTTTTAACCCCAAATGGGGAAATTAGGACAATACATTGTAATTACGGATCTAGTATTTGCTTGGCCGGGGCCACCGAGCAATCCGCTACAAAACAATGTCCCCCCTCACTCCCAAAGAAGCAGAGACCAAATGTGTTGTGGTCCGCCAGCAGCCTGCGGAGCTGGCAGTGGAGTCGGACAGCGATGAGGCTGAGGAAGAACATGGGCCAGTCCTGGAGGCTGGGGAAGGCCCAGATGAGGGCTCTGCGTCGGAGGCAGAGATGGGCCCGGGGCCATCGGGGAGTGATGTGCGGACTCCAGAGCCTCCAGAGACTGATAGTAGAGAGGCAGAGGAACAGGAGGAGCCTGTTCCTAGTGCACGCATAAGAAGAGCTTCCAGAAGGCAGGAGCAGCTAAAGCAGAGAGAACAACTCAGGAGTAGGGCCAAGAGATGATTGGCCCCTCCCATAAGGCTTAAAACAGACCAGCAACGACGTTTGGGCTTTGCCGGAAAACAACACTGGTAGCTTCGTCTTCTTCTTCGTCTACGTCTTGTATTTATTTTTGTATCTGGGACTTCTGAACGTTTGCCAAGAAAGGCCTTTGCCTAATTGGACCAAGGTTTGCGATAGGACTGAGGAATTTGTGTTGGGAGGAATTTGCTTTAATTGAGTTGAACGATGCTGGGAATGAAGGAATTCTCAGCTGTTCGAATAAAGTTTTTTTTTTTTCCCACGGACTGATTTTCCTACTACTTACTTGGGCCTGGGTCACAACAAAATGCCACTTTTTATCTCTTTCTCTTCAACCAACTATATTACCTGTACTTTACAGGTGGTCCTTAAAACCAGAATTTTCACTGCTAAGCAAGAACAGTTATTAACTGACACAGGCCCAAATTCTGCAACTTTTGCCAAGGATGTTAAGCAAACCATTAAGGCCTTGTTATGCGAATCCTGTGGTCCTTGAGTGTATCCGGCTTCCTCCATTGACTTTGCTTATTGACAGCTGGCTGGGAATGCCGTGACCTCGGATGCTTCCACTGTGATAAATATATGCTGGTTGCAAAGAGAGAGGGGGGAGGGAGAGAGAGAAAGGAGGAGGGAGAGGGAGAGAGAGAAAGAGGGAGGGAGAGGGAAGGAGAGAGGGAGAAAGAAGGAGAAAGAGGGAGGGAGAGAGGGAAAGGAGAGAACGAGAAAGAAGGAGAAAGAGGGAGGGAGAAAGGGAAAGAGGGAGGGAGGAAGAGAGAAGGAGAGGGAGAGAGAGGGAGGGAGAAGGAGGAGGGAGAGGGGAGAGAGAGCGAGAAAGAAGGAGGAGGAGGGAGGGAGAAAGGAGAGAGGGAGAAAGAGGAGAAAGAGGAGGGAGAGAGGGAAAGGGAGAGAGGGAGGGAGGAAAGAGAAGGAGAGGGAGAGAGAGGGAGGGAGGGAGATAAAGGGGAGGGAGAGAGGGAGAAAGAGGGAAAGGGAGAGAGAAGGAGGGAGAGAAAGGGGGAGGGAGAGAAAGGGGGAGAAAGAGGGAGGGAGGGAGTCATTTTTTAAGGATTTAATTATAAGCACCCACTTTTTTTCTTCTGATAAAAATGCTGCTTTCATGCAGAATTTAGTTCCAGACTTAAACAGTAACAGTGAAAGGTTTTTAATTACGAAAAGCCAAACCATTTAATCCATTAGTTCGGTAAACTATGGCTACGTGGAGCGAGTAGTAGGTAACAAAAATGAAAACGGTGCCCTAAGCTATAGGAAATATGGAAAAAGTCTGAGGAAACCACAGCCTTTGCCAAGAAAATCTTTCGGCTAAGAGATCGGTTCCATCTTTCCCCATGACTATACCTTGGGAATTTGACGATCAACACCATTTATCAACACGAGGAGATCTGTCTCTGCCCTAAAATTTTCAGAGTCTTGAAAGGATGGAGCAAGCAGGACAGTCTAGAACAATGTTTCTCAACCTTGGAAGCTTGAAGATGGGTGGACTTCAACTCCCAGAATCCCCCAGCCAGCAACGCTGGCTGGGGGATAAGAGTGTAGTATGAAGTATCACATTTAAAAAAAAAAAAAAAAAATCTGAATACTCCACTATGTCAGCGGATGTGTCACTGTATTTTTTATGACAAGATTTCAAGGAACGTGGTATCGTTTTGCAAACAAAGTGAATCACCCTGTCAGTTCCAGATAGAAAGGATTATTTCCCACACCATGTCACAAAATATTTCAGCGAGAGAATGAGTCGCTGGGAGAGATTCAGGAACCATACATTTTCCCCCCCCACCCATTTCACCCCCCGCATATCAGCCTAGCATTCCTATCTTGTAATGCAAAAACCTGAGATTTTGTTTGTATGGGCTGTTACCATAGCTGCGCTTCCAAAATGCAAGAGGTATATTATTTTTCCTATGGCTTCCTCTAGAATTCTGGAAGGTTCTTCGACAAATCCGATTAGGAGTAGTAGGCTGATGTAAAATAAATCTTGGGATAGGTTCCATGCCCCTTGGGGTTTATGAAAAATAGGGTAGTCCTCCACTTACAACAGTTCATTTAGTGACCAAAGTTACAACGGCACTGAAAAAAGTGACTTGTCAGCATTTTTCAGACTTGTGACCATTGTAGCATCCCTCTGGTCAATGATCGAAATTCGGTTGCTTGGCAACTGGCTCGTATTTATGACGGTTGCAGTGTCCTAGGGTTACTAACTTAACTGCAGTGGTTCACTTAACAACTGTGGCAAGAAAGGTCATAAAATGGGGCAAAGCTCACTCAACAAATGTCTCACTTAACAACATAAATTTTGGGCTCAATTGTGCCCGTAAGTCGAGGACTACCTGTACTGACTCTTAGCGTGGGGGTAAATTGACAATATCTTATGCAGAATTTGCTGAATAAGCCAAAGTGCCCGGTTTACATACATATAACAATACGCTATGAAGAATGGTTTACATTATCTTGTACTTTTCGCCACGTAAGCCTCGGGGGAACGTCTCTGATTTAATGAAGTCTGAATCCGCCGTGCCAAAAACATTTCTAATATATATACCATTCTATAAAGCCTTAGTAAGATCACACCTAGAATATTGCATCCAGCTTTGGTCACCACACTATAAAAAAGTTGTTGAGACTCTAGAAAAAGTGCAGAGAAGAGCAACCAAGATGATTAGGGGACTGGAGGCTAAAACATACAATGAACGGTTGCAGGAACTGGGCATAGCTGGTCTAGCGAAGAGAAGGACCAGGGGAGACAGGAGAGCATCTTCCAATATTTGAGGGGCTGCCACAGAGAGGAGGAAGGTGGTCAAGCTATTTTCCAAGGCACCCAAAGGCCAGACAAGGAATAATGGATGGAAACTGATCAAGGAGAGATTCAACCTGGAAATAAGGAGAAATTTTCTGACAGTGAGAACAATCAACCCATGGAACAGAAGTTGCTTTTGGAAGTTGTGGGGGCTTCATCACTGGAAGCTTTCAAGAAGAGACTGGACTGCCGTTTGTCAGAAATGGTGTGGGGTCTTCTGCTTGGCTGGGGGGTTAGTCTAGATGACCTACAAGGTCCCTTCCAACTCTGTAAATCTATCTATACGCGATTGTAGGATTCGGAATTTTAAAATGGTCACTGAGGATGTTAAAACAATATCTGGCTTGGCATTTCCTGGCTCTCTCTCTCCTTCCGTATCCAAAAAACTTTCAGTAGGTCTAAATTTAGGTAGCTTCAACATTTTAAAGTGTCGATCTCATTATTTCCAGGTAGGAATGTGAAGCAATAGTGGTCCGATGCTTTGGAAGTTAGTACTTTATTCCATGTCTCATTGGGTGGGTGAGGAGTTCGACAACCCAAAACCCCTCATCTCTTACACCTCCGTGAAACTTCAAAATTCTTCTATCTCACTCTGCTTCAAAACGCATACAATGCAAAAAGAAAAAAAAACCCGTCTGTCTCAGAATCTGTCTGTGTCAGATGTGAAAAACAGGTGGTAAGAATGTGCTTGTCCCATAAATAACACTCAGGCTGTCTTAAGGGCAGTGACCTAACGCTGGAACCGCTCACGGGAAGGAGTTGCAAATAAGGGCTATTGTATAATTGCGGGCAGGGGGTTTCTCTGGAGCGTAGACTCGAAGGGAATTAAACACCTATCAAACCTGGTAACTAGAGAACAGGGCCCGCCGGTTGTGTTGTGTTGTGTTGTGTTTGTGTTGCTATTTGGGCGCTGCTCCGAAGTTCACTCCAATGTCAGTGACAGGGCATTTTCACTTTACGATCAAAGTCTCCTCGGAGATTGACATGCCTTCAATTTCCCGGAGAGCAAAAATGGGCGTTTCTCCTGCCCATACTTGGCCTCTTGTGTTTACTTCGGAGCGTCTGTCAACCTCACCCACGTTCCACGATGCCGTCCTATAAATCCCCAGCTTTCGAAGCATCAGGTGCACAATGCCAAATCTCCTGGATGAGCAAAGAGCTTTTACCTTTGGAGGTGCAGGGTTTGTTTGCTTTTTTTTGATTTGGGACGTTCATCCCCAGGTAAGTCTCTGCCCGTTTGTTTTGTTTTCGTCCTAACCGCTGTTTTGGAAACTGCGCTATCTTACCTATCTCGAAGGTCGATGAGGCATGAGAAACAGCCACGAGGCAAAACAGGGGCCCAGACTTACATAACGCAAGGAGTTGCATTTCCATCTTTGTATTGCAGAATCAGCAGACGCAGAGGACCAACGAAGACATCAAATCACCTTGCAAGGAGCACCAGTATTTGGTTATAGTGATAGAGTAAGTATAGATACTGCTCGCCTATTGATGTTTAGATTAACAGAGTTGGAAGGGACCTTGTAGGTCATCTAGTCCAACCCCCTCCCCACCCAAGCAGGAGACCCTACACCATTTCTGACAAATTATTGATAAATCTCTTATTGATAAATCCGTACTCGATTGTCCTTCGTTGATAAGCAGAGAGGTCGTTTCAAGCATCTTGTTTTCACAACGATGCCATGCACTTAGGTTCTTGGATGCAAAGGTAAAAATACATTAACTATGGACAATTCAGGGTCCACAAAAGAAAAATATAATCCGATGATTAATTAAGTAGGGAGAGGCAGTTCCGGTGTAAATGTCTTGCAGCAAAGTTTATACAAAGAGAAAGGTCATATGGTGTTATTCTATTTACCTTGTTCCATGTTACTGCAGAAATAAGGAAAATACTTTTCTTTAAAAAAAAAAAACACAGACAAATATATATTTGAGGAAAACAGCATGTAAGCTAATATGTTGTTTAGCAGAGTATAAAACCGGTTACTCCCTCAGGCTAAAATATTATATATCTGAAAATGAGTACTCTTGCAATCAGTTCATTCTATTTGGGACTATATTTGCGTAGAATTGCTTTTGTAAATGTGTATTACGGTTTTGTAACTAGGCTTTTAAATACTTTGAATCAACGATTTATCCAATCTTAGAATTTTCTTGTAAATATCTGGTTTCAATTTTTTTCCCCCCAATGTAACTTGGAAGAAGTGATAGTTGGAAATGACAACGGAGTGAGCATGCTGATATGTTCTCATCCTTCCAGCTTGTGTAAAACAGATAGTCCTCCAGACCGAGTCAAATTTATAACGAAATCAATGAGATTACAATTATTGATGTGCTCATTTATTCACTGAATATCTTGCTCATGGCAGTCTTGGGATTCTCAGTGGGTCCCAGGATGTATCAAAACATTAAAACACCTACAATGCCCTTAAAATAAAATAAAATGAAATCAAACCTTATGCATGCCTACGTAGAAGTAAGTTCCTTTCTGAGCTTGACTTTGGAGAGTGAAGTTCCTTCACGCTGCCTTTCTCATCCTTCAGTGTTTCCCAACCTTGGCAACTTTAAGTGCATGAACCTCGACTCCCAGAATTTCCCAAACCAGCAAGCAGATTGGGAATTCCCCAGGGACTAGGCCAGGAATGCTGGCTAGGGAATTCTGGAAACTGAAGTCCACACAGCTTAAACTTCCCGAAGTTGAGTAACGCTGCCCTCCAAGGTGTTTCCTGGGGATTTTGTGTTAGGTGCTTGTGAAATATTTCCGTACATTATAAATTCCTTAAATGGATGTCAGAAATTATGAAATTTCCTAAGGTCCACATCCTCTCGCAACAACTGGTATGAGACAACTATGTCCATCCAGTGTTTGCTAAAGCAACTGCAAAGGTCTTTCCGGGCTAAGAGAAGCCACACAATGACTTTCCTGAGGGACACGACTCAACCGAGCCTGATTTTAGCCAACCTCCTGACCTGCAGGACTAAAAATAGCCAAGAGCTGGTGTACCCTACCTGCGGTTCCGTGTTGCAAAAGATCACCTGGCATTTCTTTAAAGAGTTCTTTGGGAGGTGTGGACGAAAGTTATTCATTTATTTATTAAACTTATACGCTGCTCGTTATGCCAGCGTTCTCCCTAAATTAGAAAGACGTTCGCGGTTAAGTTACGAGTAATCCTTGCGTGCTTGTATTTGATTTAAAAGAAAAAAGAAAAAAAAAGAACGTATATAGTGGTGCTACTTAAACATCTGGAAAAAAAATAAAAGACGTCAAACGTTAAAATGAATGTATGAAAACCTGAGTAGAATAAGGCAGGAGCCTGTAATTAGGAATAACAGAGTTGGAAGGGACCTTGGAGGTCTTCTAGTCCAACCCCCTGCCCAGGCAGGAAACCTTATACCACTTCCGACAAATGGTTATCCAACCTCTTCTTAAAAACTTCCAGTGTTGGAGCATTCACAACTTCTGGAGGCAAGTAGTTCCACTGATTAATTGTTCCCATTGTCAGGAAATTTCTCCTTAGTTCTAAGTTGCTTCTCTCCTTGATTAGTTTCCACCCGTTGCTTCTTGTCCTACCCACAGGTGCTTTGGAGAATAGCTTGACTGCCTCTTCTTTGGGGCAACCCCTGAGATACTGGAAGACTGCTATAATGTCTCCCCTAGTCTTTCTTTTAACCAAATTAGACATACCCAATTCCAGCAACCGTTCTTCATATGCTTTAGCCTCCTGTCCCCTAATCCTCTTGGTTGCTCTTCTCTGCGCTCTTTCAAATCCCACTACAGTTGAAATGCTTATTTTATTGCAGATGAAAAACGTAAAGGTGGTGAGAACTGGAAGACAATTCTTATTTCGCCAAATTGTCCAAATTGGGTCCAAAAAGTTTTGTTCTTTGTTGTGACTGTGCCAAGCCTTGTAAACATCATAAAGTTTGAGAACTCCGGCAATAAAAAGATGATGAACTAATATAACCTACAGTATATGCATTTAATTATGAAAAGGGAATCTTTATTACTCAACCTTAACTTTGGGAAAAGCATTTGTTTTATATCTGGAGGGGAGGGAAGGTATTCACGCAGATCAGTGGTGGGATTCAACTAATTTAACAACCGGTTCTCTGCCCTAATGATTTCTTCCAACAACCAGTTCATCAAATTGCTCAGAAATTTAACAACCGGTTCTCCCGAAGTGGTGCAAATTGGCTGAATCCCAACACTGACGCAGATGGATTATTTTAAAGATTGGGAGCCCTTCTGTAAGCTATTTCATTTCTTTCTTTTTTTTCTTTTTAATTCCCCTGCAATCTCAACGGTTATCTCATGACACTCACCCACCCCATGACCTTGGCATACAGGTAGTCCTCGACTTACAACCGTTCGTTTAGCGCAGGGGTCTGCAACCTTAAATACTCATACAGCCATTTGGACCCGTTTCCCACAGAAAAGAAAACACCGGGAGCCACAAAACCTGGGTGGGCGTGGCCAACTCGATGTCACTCACTTCCACCGGTCACATGACACCCTCCCCCCAGCCACACCTACTTCATTCATAATTCATTAAATCAATCCCTCCTGCTCATGGCAACTTGAAAGCTTTGCAAGTTGACACCCGAACTTTTAGGTTTTCTCTTTTTTAAAAAATTTAAAATATAGTAATATTTTGCTCCCTTAAATCCTATGGCTAGGATTTTTTGTTTAGTATAAGAAAATGCTAACACCAAATGGGAAACAGTAATGTAACCTCCTCCATACTAATTCAGAAATGGATATTAAGATAATTAAGTGGGTCATTTAATAGGGTCAACTTTACCCAGTAACTAGAAAGCAACAAAATGGGATTTAATTGCAAGCAGAAGTATTTAATTAAGGGTCATGTAGTTCTTTAAAGTCTTAATTCAGTCATACTTGGCCTGACGATCTTAGATGAGATCAGTGAGGCAATTCCAATTTCAAAATTCAAGTATTATCTTATATTACACGAAATGACAACAATGGGCACCACACATCGACATGACATCATTGGGATAGGCTCTATCCCAAAAATTCAGCCCCCGGAAAAGGGTTATTGTAAAGCAGCTAAAATGTAGGGTTAATTCTGAATCTACTCGGTGAATTTAATTCATCCGATCATCTCAAGAATCTCTGCGGTGTTTGAACATGTTCGTTTATTTCTTGTAAGATTTCCAGGAATCTTAACAATTCTGTTGGAACAAAGTAGCCTAAAAAAAGTCAGATTATTATTATTTTTTTCCAAATTAGTACCAGTAAGCCAACAACTTTTTGCCAAGGGCAAGGAAGATTTGCCATTATATTTAAAATTAATTGAGTTCATGTAGAGCATTAAAATCATTCATTATCTATAGCCAGTAAGGTAATGTATTCCATTTTGATGTTTAACCCAAGTAGCAGTTAATCACAAAGCAGACATTTGGATTAAAACAAGGATGTTTTTTTTTTCCTTCTGCAGGGCAATTTTTGAAGAACAGCCTGTGTCCAAGAATTACAAGTTGTGGTCAGAATAATATGCGAACAGGTAATCCCATGAACCTTTTCGTTTATTCTAACCTTAAGTTATCTCTCTTTGGAATAATGTGCACTTTGCATAGCTAGAGGTTGACGTATTTTGATTGCTTTGAAGGCTGGTCTGAATGTGATGCTAATAATAATCTTTAGAGAATTCAAAGTACTTTATATGCTGGATGAACTCGAATAGATTCAGATGATGATTTGGTGGATATGGAGAAGTGTGTTGCTTATATTGGTCTTCTCATTACATAGAATTCATTTCTGCCTTTTAAAATCAGCGCAATATACCGTTATAGCCAAACCAACCAATTATAATTTGAGGTATCCTTCAGAATCTGGAATCAAACTGTGAATTGTAGTCTAGTTTTGATAAGTACAGAATAACAGAGTTGGGACATTGGAGGTCTTCTAGTCCAACCCCTTGCTCAGGCAGGAAACCCTATACCGGGTGTCTGCATCCTGCGGCTCTGGAGCCTCATGTGGCTCTTTCGTCCCCCTGCTGTGGCTCCCTGTCTGCTAAACCCACCAGTGTCTGTCCCTGTCCCTCGCCCTCCCCTCCCAGTCACTCCTCACCTGGCCTAAGAAGGTAAGGGCGATTACCTAAGGCAGGGGTCTGCAACCTTAAATACTCATTTGGACCCGTTCCCCACAGAAAAGAAAACACCGGGAGCCACATGGGCATGGCCAACTTGATGTCACTCACTTCTACCGGTAACATGACCCCCCCCCTAGCCACACCTACCCAGCCAGTCATTAGCGCAGAAAACCAGTTGTTAAAAAACACCGGGAACCACAAAATCCTTTTGACAAATTTCTCTCTCCCCTCCCTCCCTCCCTCCCTCCCTCTCTGTATCTCTCTCTTGTCTCTCTCTCTCCCCCTCTCTCTGTATCTCTCTGTCTCTCCCCTGGCCGCTTCTCCATCTCTTGCCGTCGCCCTTACCTTCTCAGGCCAGGGGAGGAGTGACTGGGAGGGGAGGCCGAGGGGCGAGGCCAGCCAGTGGTGGGATCACCTGACAGGGAGCCACAGCAGAGGGCCCAAAGAGCCACATGTGGCTCTGGAGCTGCAGGTTGCTGACCCCTGACTTAAGGTAACACCAGGAGGCACAAAACCTGGCTGGAGGGTGTGTGTGTCATGTGACTGGGTGGGAGTGAGTGATGTCGAGCTGGCCACGCCCACCCAGCTTTTGTGGCTCCCAGTGATTTCTTTTCTGTGGGAAACGGGTCCAAATGGCTCTTTGAGTGTTTAAGGTTGCAGACCCCTGCCCTAGAACATTTCAGACTAATGGTTGTCCCTTCTCTTCTTTAAAAACTTCCAGTGTTGGAGCATTCCCAACTTTTGGAGGCAAGTTCTTCCACAGATGATTTGTTCTTAAAATCCTTACATGAAGCAAATTTCCTGCCATAGTTCACTATGGATTTATTTTCCGAGCCTCTTGTGAGGGATGGAGACGTGTAAAAACCTTCTGCCCTTTAATTCTGTCGTCTGCTTTAATAACGACGAGCTTTCGCCCGAAGAGTTCAGATTGGCTTGCTAGTCTGGTTTTGAGCATCTCACCTGCTTGCCTGTCCTGTCTCGCAGCCGACACGTAGATCAATAACAAAAATCCAGCAGGCAGGTTTTCCTGACTCGCAAGACCTCAACCTTTAACTTATGAATTGTAATAATTCATTTTCCCCAACTTTTTAAAACACGTAAGTGGAAAAAAAGTCAAATCTAGGCTCTCCAGTCATAAAGAGCGTGCAGACTTATTGCAAACTTCCACCCTGGGCAAGGGTATTAAAAATAATAAATACCGGTAATTGATTTTGCCCAAAAGTATTTGGAATTGTTTAGAAACCACTGGCTTCAATGCTTTGGAGCAGAGGTGGGTTTCAGCAGGTTCTGATCAATTCTCGAGAAACCGTAGTGGAAATTTTGAGTAGCTCGGAGAACCGGTAGTAAAAATTCTGACTGGCCCCGCTCCCAACTATTCTCTGCCTCCCAAGTCCCAGCTGATAATAATAATAATAACTTTATTGTCATTGTACATGTATACACAGTATACCCATACAACGAAATTCACTTAATACCCAAAGACCAGGTCCAACACACATAACAATCCCCAAACACACTCCCACCCACCACAAATTCCCCACGCCTAAACCACCCAAACATCCACACAACAGACCAAGTAATGCTGTCCAACAGCTCACTGATGGTGGCCCTTTAGTTCATTGTTGAGTGCAATTATAGCTCTGATCAGGAGGAAATGGGGATTTTGCAGTAACCTTCCCCTGGATTGAGGAGGGAATGGAGATTTTACAGTATCCTTCCCCTGCAATGCCCACCAAACCACGCCCACAGAACCGTAGTAAAAAAAATTGAAACCCACCACTGCTTTGGGAGGCAAACAGATGTTTTAGATAAATTGCCGTCGAGACTGGATTTCAAAACGATGAAATTCTTTGTTTTGTGAGATGAGAAAGGAAGAGTGAAAGTGGCAGGGAGACCTCCCTTTAGAACAGTGTTTCTCAACCTTGGTAGCTTGAAGATGGGTGGACTTCAACTCAATTTTGGGAGTTGAAGTCCACCCATCTTCAAGCTACCAAGGTTCAGAAACACTGCTTTAGAAGGTTCTCATTAGATTTCATTTCCTTTGATTGGGGTATTCTTCTGGATGGGTTGCCTGAAGTGAGATGGTCTCTTGCAATTATTCCACTGCTCCTTGGACTAGAAGACCTCCAAGGTCCCTTCCACCTCTATGTTCTATCTATGTTCTTCAATAGATGATTCAAGAAGGTTGGAACGAGATGGCATCGCTCTGTTTTGTTCCTATTTCGTTCCTCACCTGTTTGGCTATTTGCTAAGAGACCGTAGCTTTCTATTTATGCGAGATGTGAATTCTAGACATTATCTCTAACAAATCACCGGTTTTGTAAACCATTAACTTTGTTATTTTGACCTGGATAACACAGGTTTCAGTCTTAACCTCGCATCTGTCGTGTCCAAAACATGAATTTCTGGCAAAATCTATCCTTTCGCCTCTAAAAATCCGAAGCCAACGTCTTCACCAAAGCCTTCCGAGTAAAAATAGAAATTCTGGTTGGTTGAGTTTAGTCGGTTAGCAAAGAGCAGTACTGGATGAACCAGCTGGTCAGGTTATGAGTCTATAAACCAAACTTATTGATGTAAGGGAAGAGTGGGCTGTTCCCCACCCTCCTGGCACAGCTCCCTCCTGACTTATGGAGTCACAGCCAGGATGGAAGATCTCAGTTGGTAGCTGCCATGTAAACCACTGCTGCCACCCCCATTTTTACTCATCAGAGAGACGGTGGCATTGAGCAGTGGAAATATCAGGCTCTGAATGAGCTTTGCTTTTCAGAATTTGGGCAAGGGGAAATTGCCAGTGTCCCCCCTCCCCTCCTCAACTTGCAGGGTGGTCAAACTTCCCTAAGAGGACAAGGTGGCTCAAAGAGGATGTGGTGGCTCAGTGGCTAAGATGGTGAACTTGTTGATCGAAAGGTTGGCAGTTCAGCGGTTCGAATCCCTAGTGCCGCATAACGGGGTGAGCTCCTGTGCCAACTTAGCAGTTAGAAAGCAGGTAAAAAATGCAAGTAGAAAAATAGGGACCACCTTTGGTGGGAAAGGAACAGCGTTCCGTGCACCTTTGGCGTTGAGTCATGCTGGCCACATGACCACGGAGACGTCTTCGGACAGCGCTGGCTCTTTGGTTTTGAAACGGAGATGAGCACCGCCCCCTAGAGTCAGGAACGACTAGCACATATGTACAATGGGAACCTTTAGCTTTACCTTTATAAAGTTCCCTGCAGTAACTTCCATGCTTCCAGATAAGGATATTTATGTCCCCATTTTTCAGGGGGGGTAGAAATAATAAAAATAATCCAGGACTCTCACACCTAATGTGCAAGATAGCACCATTTTTCAACTCCATGTGATGCTCCGTTTTTCATGGAGACGGCTTCAATGTTCAAAAAAATAACCAAATAATCTTCGAGATTTGTTATATCATGGCTTTGGGTAAAAGCATTTATTCAGAGCAAGCAATAGATATGGTTATTTTCTTTTCTTTTTTTTTTTTTTCCTGTTCGTTCATGTCCGATTTTCAGATATTGACTGTGCAGTTTTCTCGGTGAAGTTTTTCAGAAGTTTTTTTTCCCTCCCCCACCGTTTTAGATCATGAAGAACTCTGTGGCAGCAGTTACGGGTCTTTCTGTCTGAATGGTGGGATCTGTTATACCATACCTTCTGCTTCCAATCCTTTTTGCAGGTAGGAGAAACACTGACAATTACGCTTTGCGGTTTAAGGGCAGCGGCTTTTTCAAAAATCACACCGTTTGCCCCTTTGCCGGTGCATTAGCTGAAGGGTAGGACTTTCGAACGACAGAAATACTTCCCCCCCTCCTTTTTAGAGCTGCCCTTGCTGATTCGACCCGGTGTTATGTTTTATTTACTTGAAAAATGTGATACCCAGGCGGAAAAGTGCTGGTTTAAGGGAAGTCTTTTAGAGCCTCTGCATCAGCTAATTTCCCAGGCATGAAGCCTTCGGGAAGTCCCTAGAGACAGACACACAGAGAGAGAGAGAGAACAGTAGGAAATACCAAACCATATTGGCCTAATTGTAGATTGACAGGAAAAGGGATACCATATTGACAGGCGATGTCTAAATCCGATCATTTTGGAGACGCGTGATGCAAGGAAACCTTACGTAACCAAGCGGATGTGTGTCCCCAGAATGACAGCATTGCTGTTATCTTAACGCAAAGGATGGAAATCGATAATTCCCGTTTACCTTTCGGCACTAAATAGTTATTGCACTTTATGGTCAGAGTGGGCATTTCAGTGGAAGAGGAAATATTTCCGGAGTGAAAAGAAAGGCTTTTAAAAACCAACGCAGTAGCAAATCCCAGCACCAGAGGCCAAAGCATATTTTACTCCAATTTTACTCATGACCTACGAAATTTAAAAATGTAGATTTTCTTTCCTAAAAGACCGACTGGCCTGCAAAACATAAATAGGGCTTACATCCATTGTAGCGGTAAATATAAGTATACATACATGCATGCCATAATCCCGTAGAATAGGCGATTCTCACAGGACGAAACTGGCTAATATCTGCTGGGCCCGAATGAAAATAGGATGTTCTCATGTTCCTTGAAATCTTCCCTGCAACAAACGGAAAGCAGATTTCACTGCAAGGTGGCAATTTAACATTCAATTCTGGGAATTTTGTGCACATTACTCCATTACAGACGGGTAAAATTACATTCCAGTGCACATTGTAATTACAAATGTCAATAGGGAATCTTTCAAAGATTGTAACCTCTCCTCTGTTCACGTCATATTTCAATTAAAATCCCGCAATAAATGTTTCCCTTTCCTTCGATAGAAGAAAAGCCTCAATTTTTGCAAGCATTCTGGTTTTGGGGGGGGGGCAGTTTTAGTTGCTGTGTTATTCAAACCTAGCAAAACGCAAACTTTCTGTTCAGGTCTGATGATCATACAAGTGTAATTTTGCCTCAATCTCTCATATCCCGTGATTTGCTGATTCCGATATTTCCCCCAGTCGCCCGCACTGAATTATTGTCTTTTATTATTCAGATTTTTCAGTCCTTCTAAGTAGCCAGAATCTTTGGTTAGATTCGCACGTCAACATTTGCTTACACGGTGGAAATTTATATTTTGAGACGCCAAACTTGCATCTTTGGGGTTGTGCATAGGTGTCCGTAAGAAGCCACAGCGGGCCTCACCTGCATTTTAAATTCAACTGCAGCGTGTGACAGTGACCACGGAACATGGGTTCTACTCAAAACAGCCACCAGGCAGAAAATGACAGTCATAAAATCTTCAACCTGGCAGATTTAGGACTATCTGTGTAATCCCAGTGTTTCTCAACTCGGGCAATTTGAAGACACATGGACTTCAAGTTCCAGAATGCCCCAACCAGCATTCTGAGTATTGAAGTTCAGGCATGTTGGCCGGGGCATTCTGGAAATTGAAGTCCACTTGTCTTCAAGTTGCCAAGGGTGAGAAACATCTAATATCTAATGACTCAGGGTTGGTAAAAGAGGAGGAAGGCATATCATGCGTACTGCCTTCGGATTCTTGCAGAACAGAGCATGAGTCAAATAAAGAACAAACAGTGAATTCGGGCAACGTACTTGTACTACACAAAGTACACTTTCCACAACTCCTTGAGATTTTCTGCTCTAATGCTCATTGTATTGGGAGACAATTGAGGAAGCAAAGAGGGAGAGGAAGCATGGACCAACCTGGGGGCAGAGAAAATGTGGCTTCGTTTCAGCTCACAAACTAACTCACCTTTGTTCCCAGGTGTGTTGACAACTACACAGGAGCTCGTTGCGAAGCAATCTTGCTCCCCAGCATCAAGAGCCACTCAAGAGGGGAACTGTTTGTAGCCGTGTTGGCTTCGGTTGTTGTTTTGAGTGTCCTGGTAGCCGGAGCGTTTTTTTTCCTTTGCAGGTAAAGTAGCTGAAATTACTTATTGACCCAGAGAGAGATTTGGGCTGTTTGAATTGGCGGAATAAAAGTTCCCGTTCTGTCATCCAATATTTAACTTATGTGCCGTTGCTCTTTTAACACTGACCAGAAAGTGTAATTTCCCTTGTCTCTTTCTAAAAGAGAGCTCAGACCAATTCCATTCTCGGATAAACTCTACTAATCTGAAGATAACAGTGTGTTTGTGGGCAGCTGACTCACATTCGGTCCGTGCCGCTTTAGTTCCTTGGCTAAAATATAAAATAAATAAAATAAAACCTCAGAGAAGCTGTAAAGCTGAGTCATGGGAAGTTGGCACACACATTTTCAAACAAGGCAAACGGCATCGTCCTGAGAGCAGCGTTTATAAAGAGCATTTAATTGAGAGGCTGGCCCAAAGAGCCCCAACAATTACGTCTTATGCTCCATTTCAGGCCATTCGTAGCTTTAAGCCACTTCCATTGAGAAGTGTGAGCGGGGAAGCTAAAACCTGCCGGTGTCCTCAGATTATCCGTCTTTTGTCTCTTTGCTGTCTCACTCCCTTTATCCTTTCTTGCCAGGAAAGGCCAGATCCCACGAGCCAATGCCCTGGAGCGCGGCGAACACCTGATTGAGGGAAACGGCAGGGATGCTTGCAACAGTGAGTACTTCTCCGGTCAATCCCTGGTACAAGGAGCTGGGCTGGGGGGAGGGAAGGACAGGTGTAGGAAAACTGCCTGAAGCCTCTAAATGAGGGGTGTCCAACCTTGCCGTTTTTAAGACTTGTGGACTTCAACTCCCAGAATTCCCCAGCCAGCCATGCCAGTTTTAAGTACAAACGTAATGTGAGCTATGCTGGCTGGGGAATTCTGGGAGTTGAAGTCCGCAGGTCTTAAAAGTGTACAAGGTTGGAGGCCCCTGCTCTAAATCCACTTTTTTTGTAGTCCTCAACACTTGAATCGTCATCGGTCCCGATTAATTTATTTATTAAAGTTTATATGGCATTCATCTCAGTATCCAAAGCGATGGTTGGCATGGATACTTTCCTCCAACTTCCTTTGTTGAAACAGGAAGTGGAGTCAAAACTGAAAGGTAGCCTAAAACCCTGTAGCTTAAACAAGGTTGCTGTAGGAGATGACCAGGCTGAGCCTGAGGGAGGGAAGGGTCAAAGGCGTCATCAGTCTCGAGTCCCTGCGTGCCCACAAGAGTGCAATCCAGCAAACCTTGAATTCCGTTGGCTCTTACTTGCTGCCAATTTGCCTTGACCGTTAGTAGTTCAGATTCTTGTTGAGCGCATAAGCTTGCAATAAACCTGTATTTATTTGAACTGCCTGGGTTTCCTGATTTCCTGTGACTGACAGCCACACCTCCAATCCCTCATCCCAAATCCTGGACCACTGCAGACCCAAGACATTACACACACACCCATAAAAGATTGCCCTGTGGATCTGATGGAAATTGGTGTCTTTTCAGAAATAACCGAATAAAGAAATCCGAAGAAGAAATTATGGACCAGCTGCAAGAGAAGTGGAAAAGCTGAAACCATGCTGGAGAATATGGTAAGAAGACGGAACGGATATCTGTGACAAGTGTTGTGCTAATTAAAGATTTACCAGGCCAGTTATATTTAGGATCCCATTTCAAAGGAAGAGGGGCTCACGCAGAGAAGTCTGACGTGGTACGTGAACATCTTCTCTGAATTTTTCAGACTTTTCCAACTTTTCCATTTTTTATTACGGGAGGGTATTTTTATGCAAAAGCAGCGAGATCACAAGATTCTAACACATTATTATCCTGATAAAGGGGGAAAAAAAATAAGAACATCTCTTTAGGCTGTGTCCAGTAATTCTGGCCTGTTACAAAAACGCACGGTGAGAACAAAGCTGTGAATTATTCTAGACACCTATTTAGGCACACTTGAATAATGCAATTTGCTTGGCCAGAAATTATGAATGCATCGCATGGGCCCGTATTTTTCCACAAAGACTTCTTTTAATGTATGAAAGGAGAACAGGCAGGGATAAGAATTGTATCTGTGCACGGATATAAAGGTAAAAACAAAGAAACAAATTATCAGGAAAATGGGAATGCATAGCTTTTTCTTTCCAGGCTCCTACCATCTTTAGATACTGTCTTCTGTTCAGGCTCCACAGCCCCGAAGTGTTGCTATGTTCTAGGGCAGGGGTCGGCAACCTTAAACACTCAAAGAGCCACAAAGGTCCTAACCGGAAGCCCCCGGCTCAATTCTGGAGCTGGCTGGAAGTCCCGTTCCTCCACCATAGAGTCTCCTCCTAGCACGGCGTCCTTTTTCCTCTACCTATCCTAACCAAAAGCCCTATCAATTGTGGAGCTAACCGGCGACAGGGAGCCGCAGCAGACGGATGAAAGAGCCACATGCAGCTCCAAAGCTGCAGGTTGCCGACCCGTTCTATACTTCTGTTGATGATCCAAGCACTACTCTTCCTTTTCTGAAGCTGCCTTACATTGTTTCACATCCCATTGTGTTCCACCAAGACCCTTTTTGCTGCCCAATATTGTCTCGGGGACAAACAAAAATGTGACCGAAGAATAAATGTTAAAGAATTCCATGCAGACTTCAGACGGACCCCAAAATAAATACTGCTATGTAAATGCCACTCCTTTTCCCTCCCTGAACAAAGCAACACCTAATAATTAAATGAGATCTTCAAAACGGATTCATAGGATGAGCCGATGAACGAGTTAAAATTTGCTTGTCGTATTCTCGACGATTCTCCGTTCCTCATTTTTGATGTGCTTAATTAATTCCTGTGAGTACAACACCAGTAGTGTGCTAGTTTAAGACCTTTGCAAGCTGCCTTGACAGAAATGATGGGAAAGATAACACGTAATTTGACATTTATTTTTTTTTTAAAGAAAAGTCTAATAAAGTCACTGTCTTCTGTGATTTTTCAGGAATCTGTATCTGCGTTCCCAGATACTCTGAACGAAGAATGTGATTTACGGGACCAAATATCTAGGCAGAAATATGCACAACTTATGTTCTTACCGTTCCCAGACACAGGAGGTCAGAGGTATGTGAAGATGCTGAGAGAGACAATAGAGTCAACTCCATCCTCGGTAATTAAAATAGACAAAATGCTTTTAAAGTATTTCCGAACATTAGTAGGTAATATCGAAAAGCTGTTGGAGAGCTTCCATCCGTCTTTATCGAAGGTGAAATCAGCTTTATGTTTTAGTATCCTGCAACGGACTTTCCAGCTTAGTGAACAAAATAAGAAGCATTTTATGTAAAGGTTTCCACAACGTACAGCGGTCGACATCGGGCGAGCCCTTTTAGTCATGAACGATGTAGTCACCGTATTCCTTTTTTTCTTCTGTTTGAAACATTCCCATTTGTAAATAAAGTTTATCCTTTTCAAAGACGTATCTGAGGTCCCTCAAAGAATTCTGCGTTTAAAATTAGTTCACGTGTTATCAGTTGGTTGTCAAAGAGAAGTAATTAAGAAATAATGCCTGGCCTAGCCAGAGTAGAGTAATAGTTAAGGATGACGATTGGGGAGGCTCAGGTTTGGGGCCACCTTGGTCCTGGGGTTAATTTACTCTCAGTCCGGTCTACTCACAAAGTTGTTGTTTTAGAAAAGAGTCGGAAGAGCTTCTAGAACAGGGGTGTCAAACTGGATTTCTTCGAGGATCGGATCAGCATTGTAGCTCTCCTCCGCGGGCCGGTGGAGGGTGGGGGGGAGGCGACGGGACGGATGCATCCTGCAGCACCCTGCCAGCCAAAACGGGGCACGGGAGAGATCCACGCACAGCACCCCTTGCACCTCGTTTTCACCCCATATGGCCTCCTGCAGCACTCTGGCGGCTGTTTTCAGCCCTGTTTTCGGGCCGTTTTCAACCGGCAGAGTGCTGCAGGAGGCCATGTAGGGTGAAAACAAGGCGCGAGGGGGGGGCACTACACACAGCCCACCCACCCCTCGTGGGCCGGATTTAAGCACCCAGTGGACTAGATCAAGACCGCGGGCCTTGAGTTTGATATCCCTGTTCGGGAAGAAAACTGAGGAGGGGAAAAATCCAACAAACTAACATAAAACTATATGTGGTTCTGTAAAGACTCACAAATCATTTCTTCTTCTTAGTCATGAAGCCATCAATTGGTCTGTAGGCTTCTCCTTTAAAGTTATTTATTTATTTTTGCACGCCTTCTGATTTGAAAAAATTGCAACCACAGACCCGCAGAATTGAGAAACACCCCCCCACACACACTATTTACTATTGGCTGTAAATGGAGTTATTTCTAACACAATCTGACCTCTGCATTACAATCCCAAAACGGAACTTGTTTTTACACTACCCAGTCAATTTACCCAGAAAACTCAGTTGACCACGTACCAAGTTTTCCAGACTCAACCTCAATTCAGGAAACTTTTTAAAGTAACCCAATTACTCTGATGTGCTCAGCATATGTCAATGCCAACTTTAACAGACAGCTGCATTTTCAATATACACTTTAGACTGTCTTCCATGAAGCAGCGTTAAGTTTTCAGCAGAAAAAGTTTCCTTTAAAACAGAGGTCTTCAAACTTGGCAGCTTTAAGACTTGTGGACTTCAACTTCCAGAAAAGGACCCCTACTTTAAAATAAAAACACTGGCTGTTAAAACCCGACTTTAAAAGAAGCTAGCCAAGTGTGCTCCACAGGCAAACCCATCTCAGCAGTGGCTTCAGAATGGGATGTCTCCGAGACATAAGCAGAGTTTCACTTTTGCGCATTTTAAATATTATTTTAAAAATGACTTTCCTAAAACTTTTGAATTACTGGCTTTATGAAACAACCCTGAAACTTTTTTTTTTTAAATTTGATTTATATGCCGCCCTTCTCCGGAGACTCAGGGCGGCTTACAATGCGTTAAGCAATAGCCTTCATCCTTTTGTATATTTATACAAAGTCAGCTTATTGCCCCCACAAACTGGGTCCTCATTTCACCTACCTTAGAAAGGATGGAAGGCTGAGTCAACCTTGAGCCTTGGAGAGATTTGAACCAGCAGTAAATTGCAGGCAGCTGTGTTAATAACAGGGTGCGTAGACCACTGTACTATCAAGGCTCTATAAACCTGCACCTACCTATAGTACGCTCACCAACCTTCTGTATTCCTGCCCCTAATATTTCCCTAAGTTTTAGTATTTTGGGGGGAAGGGGGTATTGCATTAACATTACCAAATCAAACCAGAAGAAAGATAATCGGGGATTATCTCGATGTTAGGCAACGACTTCAACTACGTGGGGAATTTGGTCCTGAAGCTGGATTACCATCCTTCATCTATTCAGAAACAGCACCAACAGCTACGTAATAAAGTAGGTCATTAAAGCTAGTCCAGGATACAGCATTTCTTCCAAAAGCAGTCAAGTCTGCAACGACTCCCAAAATACATCACACGGGACATGTGTATCCACAAAGAAAAATGGTATTTCTTTGCATCGCGGTTTTCAATTTTTCACGGAAAAGACGAGCACATTTTGGTGAGGGGGGAAAAAAAAAGTCAAAACTTCTCAGCCTTCTGCTTTTGGAGGAAGACAGAAAGAATATAACTTGAGGTTGAGAGGGGAAAAAAATCGTGTATTTAATTCTCTGTTACCTTATTTTACACTTGCCCGGACTTCCCCAGTATAACCGTGGGACATTAAACCAAATCATAAATATCTTCAGTAGCTTTAATGTCAGAGAGAAAAAGCTGAATATCAAGTTAAACATCTTGCAGTCGTATAATTCTGCTGCCGTTCGTCTTTCTTACATTGATAAAAGCAGTGAATTCAAGGGTTTGGGGGGTTTTTTTGCACAGGAAGGAAGCCATATTAGCGTACGCTTTCAGACTGTGGTTGTTTAGACAGCTCCAGGTACCGACAGTTCATATTTAAAACATTCAACAGTAGAATTCAAACCAAATCAGACAAATCTTGAAGTTCCTTTGTTTATTTAAGAGCCCCCCCTCCCCCCCCGGGAATATATACCTTCCTTCAACCAAAGCGACTAAGAAGCAGGCAACTAATTTATAATACAAACTATAAGTTAGTAGACAAGATGGTCCAACTTGCAATCTTTTACCAAGATAAGCCCAAGAATCCAGACCATCTAAAGCAGAGGTCTTCAAACTTGGCAGCTTTAAGACTTGTGGACTTTTAACTCCCAGAATTCTCCAGTCTTAAAGCTGCCAAGTTTGAAGACCTCTGATCTAAAAGATGAATATTCAAGTGCAAATGTTTTTTTTCAAATTTGACTAGGCCTCCATGGGCTATTTTGCCCCCTTACCTTCACAGATGATTTTAAAGAGCTCAGCTCAAGACCTGAAGCTTTGCATTTCCAGAGACCAACAATAAAAGACAGCTTAAGACAGGTTTAGTTCATAGGCTGGCTTGTTCAGTAATCCACTAACAGCCTGAGAAGAAAAAAAAATAGTATTTTTTTCCATCATGAAAGCGCTGGCGATGCTAACCACCATCATTTGCAACTACTGGAACGAAGTAAAAATCTACCGTGTATATATATATATATATCCATACACGAAACACTTTCAGTTTTAGAAAACGGGGTATTAAAAAAATCTTCTTTTTCTTTCCCCGAATTTAAGATCACGTCATCGGGGAGACCGGGCCAAGCCGACGGGACAAGCCTTCCTTTTTGTTTCAGGAGGCACTTTGAATGACATGCCCAGAATGGCCCGTTTCTCACAATTAATTGGAGACAAGGGCCGCTGCACAATGGCAGAAGGAGAAAAGGGGAAGAGAATTTTAAGCTTGATTGCCTTTAGCCGAACCCAAGTGCAGAAGCACCACGACTGTGGTGTAGCTGTGCAGGAGGTTATCCTTGGTCTCGTGACATTCCCGCAGGACGAAATTCCCCGTCACGATTCGATCGCATCCGATCTCCCCATGTCCGAAAAAGCCGAAAAGCGGCACGTTGGGGAAGTACTTTCGAAAAATGTCGGCCTCCACGTTGGGTTTGTTTTCATAAAAGAGGTACCCCCGGCCCACGCAGGCGAACATGAAAGCCAGAGTGTGGTGCTCGGGAATGTTGGCCGCCTTGAGGCGCTGCATGGCCGCTTCGGCTAACTTTTCATTCTTGACGTCTTGCTCCAGCAGGACGGAGGCGCACTGGATCTGGGCACCGCTGAACGCCAGGCCGACTACGCCCCACGACTCGACAGGCGGGGTGTCACTGGAAGAGAGGAGGGGACCGGGGGGGGGGAGGAAACAGAGTCAGAAGCTGGTGGGTCACAACCCAACATCACCCAAAAGGCCGTGCAAAGCAATACAGGTAATCCTCGACTTAACCACCGTTCGTTTAGCGAAGGTTCGAACTTACAACGGTGCTGAAAGATGTGACTGATGACAGGTTCTCAGGCTTAACAATGGTTGCTTGGTCAAAATTTAACAGTTTCACTGAGTTGGAAGGGACCTTGTAGGTCAGTGACGGCTAACCTTTTTGCTGTCGCGTGCCAAAAGCAGGGGAGCACGGGGGGATAATGTACATGCGTGCCCACGCCCATAATTCAATGGCCCCCTGCGTCCCGCCCCCCCGCACGCGACCCCCCCGCGCTCCTCCCGCTTTTGGCACACAACAGCAAAAAGGTTACCGGTGGGCCTGGTAGGCCCGTTTTTCACCCTCCCCAGGCTCCAGAGGCTTTCTTGGAGCCTGGGGAGGGTGAAAACAGCCTTCCCCTCTCCACCCCACCCCACGGAGCCCCTCCAGAGGCCAGAAATGGCCCGTTTCCCAATGTCTGGTGGGTCCGGAAGGCCCGAAAATCAGCTGGCTGGCGCACGCATGCACGCTGGAGCTCAGCTAGGACAACACTCGTGTGCCTACAGATATGACTCCGCGTGCCACCGGTTCGCCATCATGGTTGTAGGTCATCTAGTCCAACCTGCGCCCAAGTAGGAGACCCTACACCAGGGGTCTCCAAACTTGGCAACTTTAAGACTTGTGGACTTCAACTCCCAGAATTCCTCAGCCAGCAAAGCTGGGAGTTGAAGTCCACAAGTCTTAAAGTTGCCAGGTTTGAGGACCTCTGCCCTTCACCATTTCTGACAAATGGCAGTCCAGTCTCTGCTTGAAAGCCTCCAGTGATGAAGCTCCCACAACTTCCGAAGGCAACTTCTGTTCCACTGGTTGATTGCTCTCACTGCTTGGCAGAACTGCCGTGTATTTTCGACGGTCGCTGTGTCAGGTGAGGGCCCTCCGTGACCTTCCCAACCGGCTCCCAAATAGTGGAGTCAATGGGAGAAGCCAGGTTTCGCTTAACAACCGTGAGATTCACTTAATGTCCGCAGCAAATCCGGTTGTAAAACTGGGTGCCAGCTCACTTCACAACTGCCTCACTTAG